CTACAAATGTCAGTTCTGTGTGTGCTCAAGAATATGATAATAACATGCATGTGCCATTGTTTTTTGCATGCTCCAAAATCTGACATCACTCAAGTCTGAACTAGTTGGTTATATATATATATAATATCATCCCTGATGCTTCTCTCAAGTATCGTATTTTCATGCGCGCTCAATAATACAACATCCCTCAAATATATCAACACTGTAGATTGACCCATGATCAAATCTTCCACGCAATTATTATCATGTTCTCTTTTGATGCATGCTCAATAAATCTTGCACAAAATTATCATGTCGTCTTTTGATGCGCGCTTGAAAATACAATGTCACCCCAATGATTCAAATCAGAATAGTGAAATCCAATGATACTTGTTGTGTGGTTTAGCCTGTGTTATTTCAGTATTTTCAAAGTTGTTTACGATAGAGGGCATTTTGAGAGGGGCCCAAGGGTCCCCCCAACCCGAACTAGTCGGTGTTTTTACCCTATAATATAAACATTTATATACATATATATAAACTATATATTACTTCTATTTTCGGATTAGCCCTGGTGCATGCTTATTAAGCATTTCCCATGCTTATTTAAGCATGTTGGGATGTTTCTAACGAAACATCCCACTGTTTTTGTGCACAGACCTCCCCATAAAGTATATATACCTTAAGGGCAAAAAGCTGATGAGTCTCAGACGAAAGCACCTGTATCTCTTGTGGGATAAGGTCCTCCCTTTTGCTCTGTCCTTTTCCTCATTAACTTCTCAAAAAACACTCGATTTCGAAAACACGTGATTTGTCTTTTGCAACCCAACCCAACCCATAGAAAACACAATGTCACAAACCACACATTAATTATAAAACAATAGAAAGGGGCCTCAGAAAACCCAACCTGCATCTCCAGCCTAAACCACTGCACTCCCTTGACAAATCCACAACTGACACCCTCTTATCTTTGTGGGTTCCTCACTGAACTTCCTTGCATAACGTGCATTGGAATTGCCTTGATGTCTCTTCCTTCCATACTATATAACTTTGTCCCCTAGGAATTGCTCACTTACACCCGGATCAGAAATTTCTGATCCGGGCATGTTTGGGACTTATGCCACCAATCATAGGTTAGATTGCATCCCAACCACTGATCTAACCCAACTCAAATGTCTCCATGTCCCTTACAATAGCTCAGTCACCAGAGCAACTATTCACTCAAAGTCTTTTAAGCCCTGTAGGGAGTATCTATACGGCCTTTGGACATCTGTCGCAACCTGATAATACCAACAAATGGATGAGTAATGGCCAATCATGGCACGATTGAGCACAAGTCAATCGTGCCCTACTTGTGCCATTGCTGTTTTCTCTCCCATTTCTCCGTATTATCAGGCCTTATTAATGTTCCAAAGGCCGTATTGATAATCCCCACCGGATGCAAAAGACCCTGAGTCAATAGCTGCTCTAGTTCTCGAGCTATTCAATAAACACACTTGTGCCCTCCACTTGTGCCCATGGTCCCATGTTTGAACTTTATTTCTTGAATAACTTCACAACCAGTGACCCGTTTCACCCAGGGTTTTCTGCATCGTGTATATATTCTCAATACCTACCTTTTGATATGCTATACACCCCAAATGAATCGATTCTCAACTTGAGCTCAAACACTAAAACTCAGGGCACAACTTTGTTTCCTCAATAACTCAGTCACCGTGGCAGCTATTCACTCGGGGTTTTTTGCATCTTGTAGAGAAGGTCCATACGGCCTTTGGACACTCGTTTATATTTCATAATATTGGGAACTGGCCGAGTACTGGCCAATGGCACGATAGGGCATGACTTGGCACACTATTTTCTTTCCTTGATAACTTGGTAACCAGGGCAGCTAATCACTCCGGGTTTGCTGCATCTTGTAGAGGACATCCATACGGCCTTTGGACATTTATTAAAGCCTGATAATACCAACAAATGGATGAGTAATGGTCCATGGCACGATTGGGCACAAGTCAATCGTGCCCTACTTGTGCCATTGCTGTTTTCTCCCCCATTTCTCAGTATTATCAGGCACTGTTGATGTTCCAAAGGCCGTATTTATAATCTCCACCGGATGGAAAAGACCCTGAGTCAATAGCTGCTCTCGTTCTCGAGCTATTCAATAAACACACTTGTGCCCTCCACTCGTGCCCTTGGTCCCATGTTCACACTTTATTTCTTGAATAACTTCACAACCAGTGACCCGTTTCACTCAAGGTTTTCTGCATCGTGTATATATTTTCAATACCTATCTTGTGATATGCTATACACCCCAAACAAATCGATTCTCAACTTGAGCTCAAACACTGAAACTCAGGGCACAACTTTGTTTCCTCAATAACTCAGTAACCGTGGCAGCTATTCGCTCGGGGTTTTTTGCATCTTGTAGAGGAGATCCATACGGCCTTTGGACACTCGTTTATATTTCATAATATTGAGAACTGGCCGAGTACTGGCCAATGGCACAATAGGGCACGACTAGGGCACGACTGGGCACGACAATGAATTGGCCATAACTCCTGAACCGTTTACCGGACTTCCATTTCCGTTACACCGTTGGAAAGGTGTGATTTTTCTCTTTTTTATGATACCAAAAAATCGCCATGGCACAAGTATTATGATTCATAATACCCACTGTGATTAGATAGTTGCCATCGGGTACTTGGCGTTCACAGTGCAAACATACCGGTAGCGGGTTGATGTCATAAGCATGCAATGAGGATGACTAGTAGGGCCTTCAGTGACTTGGCATTCCCAAAGGGAACGTGCCATTGGCAGGGAAACATGATGACTGGCGAAGGAGGGAACAGACGGTGGATGGGCGGCGACTTGGCGTTCGCTGCACGAACGTGCCGGCATCACGGGAAGGTGGGCCTCAAAGTATTCACGATCTCCATGATCGTGAGGTGATGTCGTATGTTGAGTACTGGGGGGAGAGCGGAGTGACGAGGACCCATAGGGTACAGATTCGATAAGACGATACACATGTCGAGAGTCTTCGACTCTCGACCTCGAGTTCTTGCAGCGAGGGCCGTTAGAGGACTCGATATAACCAGACTTATAAGACATATTGAGAGTTGTACAGTCACATGGGTTCAGTTGAGTCACAGGGAGGGTTGTTACAGAAGACGGTACACGAGACAGTTGTAGAGCAGTTGTTAGTTAGCGGGAACCGCCTTCGGCGGTTTCCGTACAAGACGCGTGACTATCTACAAATGGTAAGGTTGCAGGAAATCCCGCAAAACACAAATAACATTGGCCAGCACCAAAACCCCAATGGGGAAAGCTTTGCACGAGGGGGGGAAAGGGGTAGAACGGGTAAGGAGGATAGGGTATCGGGATAGAGGGTGGAAGAGAGAGGGGAGGAACGATAGAGAGGGGAGTCTTTGACCATGCGACGGATATGGTCGTTGGAGACTCCGTATCCATAACAACTGGGGTCAAGTCCCAGGGAAAATTTCTCGACCCTAGCGACCCAAGTCTAGCCTATAATACATTGGTCAGATGTGGTGGTACTTTATGTGTTATATGAGATGGATTTTTGATGATTTTGATGCTGTAGGAAGCATTTATGACACATTTATTAAGTTATTAAAAACATATTCAGAGTGTTTGAGGGGTATAACAATGCATTCAAAAATGCCATAAACAATTTATTGCAACGTTTAGATGCCAAATTTCACGTTTAAATGGCAAATTTTGGCATTTTAAATGTCAAGTCTCGTGTTTTTGATCGATCTCGCAATTTTCCGATAAAAGTACTGCTCAATCACGTGACTATATATATATTATATACAACCGGGTTACATGTAACTCGGCCTTGTGCATGGGCAAAGGCGTAACGGATAGTGTGGTGACAGCCCCAACAAGATGTCGAAGCCTCTTGATTTAAAGCAAGCCAGTAGATACAAATACCCCAAAAAAGGAGGCGATGGGGCAGGTGGAGGGTAACGATGAAGACAACAGAGAGTAGCAGCAAGAAGCGCCAACAAAAGAGAAGAAGTGAAGTTACAAGAAACAAGGCATGAGCCGAAAAATGAAAGACACCGTAAACATCCGGGATCCAACTTGCAAAGGGTAACCAAGGCTAACTGCCTTATGAAGAAATTTCATGTTGCCCCGCGGGACTTACTCCGTGAGATCCAACTGAATGATACAGTTAAGGTCACAAGACAAGGACATAAAATCATGGACAAGCCTGGCATCGAAACCAGGACCTCTCAGTGTGCTACCATTACACAACTCACCCGTTTGACCATGCCGGTATAGGCTGTTAAACTCTATACCGATGGGAACAGATATCTATTCTCCAACACCTTATCCAATGCAAGACCGAATATTCAACGCCAACCAACCACCCTAACCAGAACTAATAAGAGAATTAGTTAGAAATATATGTCAGAGTCATAGAAAAAGGAAATAAACTCCAGCGTGCGCGGATGCAAGAGAGATAAAAGACTGCAGAACAACAGCGTGCAGCGGACGTGAGAGGTGGTGGCTGAGAAGCCAAAGCGTACTGCGGACACAGAAGAGAAGGCATGGAGGCCGAAGTGCTCAGCGGGCACGCATACAAGAAAGAAGGCATGGAGGCCGAAGCATACAGCGGACGTGTGTAAAGAGAAAGAAAATCCACCGACATACCGATCAAGCAGCAGAAATCAGAAACATGGACACAATTGCATACCAGACAACTAAGAAAAACTGAACATCGCGGATGAACAGTCTAAAGGCATAAAGCAATAAATATTGCGTACAGACAAGGACTTGACATCACCTAGCAAAGGGGCACAGCAGATACCCAGATGAAAACTGAGGCGCTGAGGCCGGCGCACACAAGTCATATTTAATCTCGTGCCTCCATTAAATTCAAACTGACAGCTCATATCCGGGCTCGGATATCACCTCAGATATTTTGCCTCGAAACACAGTGAATTATTCTACATGTGATAATGATTATGGGTGACACATTTGCACAATCAGCCAGAAGTAATTCAACTAGTACTACAAAATGACCAATGACCAGCATCACAAGCTCCGCCAGGGTACATACTCCTTACAGCATCCCGCATAAATTCTTCATCAGGCTCAAACATTGCAGGGACATCCTTTGACAACTTCAGCAAGGCATCATATGTTCCGTCATCCTGGGACCGAATGGTGCGAAAAGTCCTTGAAGAAGCCCCGGCACACCAAATATCAAATGAGGTGAAGGCACTCGTGCGGACCTGTTTCTCTTGCCTTGATGGCTGCACCCGTTCAGGTGGCATTATTACAGAAACTTTGGATTCCTTCGATGCCAGTGCATTCACCATTCGAATCACTGGGGGTGGTCCTGTTGACTTGGCAAAAATTCCAAGTTCGAATGGGTCCATCTTGTCAAATAAGTGTCCCGTCGGGCTGGTCCCGTAAGAGTGATCATTCTTCGACTGTATCATGAGGGCAGACATATTGTTCCTTCGTAGTATGGTGTCTTGATAAAGAATTGGAATGACCACATCAATGCCATGTTGATTATCCGCACAGACAACTCCGACACCCCGGGCGGCAAGCTTAAAGAGATATTGGACAGAGAGTACCTTGAAATCATAAACCTTAATGAAATGCGTAACGTAAATGCGTGAGCTCTTGAATGTAGCAGCAAATGCGTCGTTGCAACTGCCTGTCAGCAGCTTTGAGGGCAAAGAATCTTTGATCGACTTGTGATAGATGTCGTGGGTAAAGAGCGCCTCGAACAACGAGGTCACCATGACCCCCCTGGCTCCCATCTCCCTTCCCTGGACATAAGGTCATCTACGGTGTCGAGAATAATGTTGCACGTAATGAGTTCTCCCCGATCTCCCTTACTCATTCCAGGCCACTCCAAAATGTCTCGTAACATCTGACAGGACCGGACCTTATCCCGGATGGTGCACAAGATGATAGCCGCGGCCTCGGTGAGGATCGGCTCCGAGGCTGCAACCGTAACGACAGACTCAAATCCATCCTTGACACCCAAGCATACACGCATGTGCCTCTCGACTTGGTTCATCTGGTTCCTTACTGCCAACGTTCGGTGCCGACCAAAGTAAATGCTCGTATTGAAGTCCAGCACAAGGCGATGAGACATCACGGCAAACTTTTCATCGAGGGTCAAGTCATCCTTTTCCCACGCACGGCAGAGAAGTTTCTGGACAGCAAATACGGTGATTGTGGCTTTGACGCGTTCTCCGCCCTCTTGGTAGCGTGTCAGCCATCTACAATGACATAAAGTTATTATTGTGAAGAAAGATCTGGGAGAACGTACAAGGGACGGCCTAATGATAACCTGTACGGTAACTTGGTGACATCATCCAGAGTCATGCCCTCACGAAACTTCATCGCCATGCGATCGAAACCTAGTGCGCTGAACGGTTTGACACTGGCAAGTTTACCTTGGAGAATGCGGCTCGATGGATCAAGGGAAGGTGGTGGGGAGAATTGGTCAGACTTTCCTGCTGTGGATAAGAAGAGGGTCCAGATAGGGAACGACCGTAAACCCCGCAAAGCGCGTCTGATCGATGAGAATGCGGACCACCTCCTACCAGTATTTGAAGGCGCCAAGGTGTGGGCTTCATCAAATGCCAAAGTCAATATGGGAGTATGCTGCGTTCTGAGCTCGAAATGAGGGTTGATCTTCCCTAATACTTGTCGGACGACAGTATCAAGTGCAACCATGCCTTGTGTATAAAAAAGACATTGAATTAGTCAAGACCATGCTTAGGGAAGTAATGAGGAATACCATTTGTGTTTGTCGTGAACTTCCCGGGCGGTGTTTTCTGTTCTGAAGGAGTCATTGGCCTAATATTTGAATATAGCTGCCTCGATTATGAGTGACCTAGCGGCGACACAAAACAGGGACTTGCCTCCTCCGCTCTGGCCAATACCTCCTCGTAAAACTGCACACGTAGAGGAGCTTGGTGTCCAAACCGCTGTCCAAGTGTCATAAAAAGTCGAAACTGCCCGGCAAGGGATTTAGGATAGTCCATTAATGCCGCTGACTTCTCGGCCGGTGAGAGCACAGAAGAGGAGGCGATAATACTTTTTATTGAGTTATGTGGTCCAATGACGTTGGACACCCTCTCGAACAATGCAGTGAGAAATGCGCTGAAACGAGTATCGCTTTCCTGCTCTTTAAGGCCAATCCTTGTGAACCAATTCAAGACATCATGGTCAGGAGCCGGATATCCTAGATTGAAACATTAGAATCACACAGAAGAATACGGGAAGAAAATATCACCTTCAGCTCCCTGACGGAGATTGAAGGGGACTACAAAGTGCTTCTTGGAGAACTCGTCGACCATTCGCGATTTCCCCATGCCAGAGGACTGTACGATTGGTAAGAGGCGAGCATATGTATCAACAATATCTTGTCTCATCATGTACTGGTAAAGAATGTTGGCAGCGTCTCCTCTGTATTTGGAAGACCACGACTTGACCGCCGCTGGAAGGAGGTCGGAAAGGAATGACACAAGCAGGCGACGCTCTACCCACCATCTTCGGATGATTGAGAATCAAGTATCGCTTCAGGGTCGGGAGGACCCGCAGGCTGGGCGGTTGGAAGAAGAATTTCTGTAACGATCACAGTTTATCAGAGCCATCCAACAACGCCCAAAGCCTACGGTGCATACCCAAGTTTCGTATCTCCTTGAACGATTGAGCCTCCCATGCTTCATCTAACCTATCCCCCAACTCCGGATGTTGTGCGATTAAATCATCCAGTGGCGGTAAACTTTTCGAGTCGAGTACTCCGTCTGATTGGAGGACAATTTCTTTGAGAAGAAGAAAACGAAATTCATTTCTGGGGAGAAGTTTGGCAAACTTGAGCATGAACTCCATGACAAGTGCGTCAAGCGTTATGTGGGTGGCTTCGTCCAGGACATTGGGATGAACCGCGAGAGTCGTGGGTGCACGTTTAGAGGAGGGCTCACCCACTGACGGCCCAATCTCCAAATTGGATCTCTTTAGAGCTGACTGATTTGGGAGCGGGACTTGAATTTCGCGACTGCCGTGCGGATGTTGCTGGGGAGGCGTCAAGTTTCCTGGAGAATCCCCGAAGGCAGGCTCGGTGACTTCCACCGACGAACCTCCGATGTGCAGAGGTTCTTCTTCCATTAGTGTTTCTGGGGCCAAGGCATCTAATGGAACGGCTCCATGCCTACCGCTTCGCAAATTCGGCATGTTGCAGCGTTTTAGTAGAGTAGGAGGACTTGAGATGGACAGTCCCAAGCCGATCGAGGAATGCGAACTGTAAATGTAACAACAACTGGGAGGGTTACAAAGAACCCCGGCATACTCCGAGCCCCGAAAGTTGGCGCACAGGATAAATATGGGTGCTTGCGTGCGACCCTTTTCGGAAATAACTGGTGGACGCCCAGTCGTTCAGTCCGATTGTGGCTGGCTCCTACACTCACGTACCGTGTGAAGTATAATAGATTCCCGCAACTTTGCCTTTGCCTCGGATTCATCTCGCGCACCTCAGATTCGGTGCGGGATCGTCGGGATGACGTGACGGTGCAGACAAAGTTCAGCAGTAGAGATGTCGGCACATCGCGAAATCGATCAAAATCACGAGATTTACATAAAACGCCGTCTAATCAGACGGTGTAAGCGCTTTTAGTGGAAACGGCCGGAACCCAAGCGGTCCCGGCCCGTGAATTGGCGGGCGCGGGCATTGTGCGACCCGTAATGCACAACAGAATACACGAATACATAGTTCAGCGAGAAACAGGAAAACTGTAAAAATATAAAACCGAAAAGCTAGGAATATCAGGTTGGTAGGAGGTGGGTACTTTGACTGGGCAGGTGTGCCTGAGGAAGTACGATATCCAATGAACGTAAACAATGAAGAAATCAAGCGACCTTCCGGAGCGGATAATGGCGAGCTTATCCTGGCCGACCATGATTTGAAAATGATTGATTACTTACATGTATCTGCATGTGTAAACAAACATAGTAATTCACAGAGATTGCATTCTTGGGTGAATTATAGGAGGGTGAGGCCGGCAGGGGGAGTGAAAATTAAATATGTTGGCTTCCTTGCCACAACCTCGCCATAATTCTGGCGGAAAATAGGTCACGTGGGAGTGAAGGCTTGCAACGCCGAGCTCCTTCATCCTTGCAACCACCCTCTGTCCCCAGAGACGAATCATCTCCAAATCGCCCTTATGGGCTTTCATACCACACCTAACCTTGAATTGGTATTTTACTGTCCACATCCTGACCTTACTATCCGCGACACATTGGTAATCACTGAGAATCCACACTCACGCATTGTCCATTGTGGACTCAGGTCAAGACATTGGAACCTCATTTCGTTGATGTTTACGGAGGATTGTGCATATTCTACGTCGTACTTCGTTGTTCACCACAAGCTGTTCCCCTCCCCCTCGTACCTACCTAGCCATCCAATTGCCTACCGAGTCAGCCAACACCTTGGTCTCTCGCAGCCGAGATTGGCTCCGGCAGCACTGTGATGATGGCCGAAGGGCCCTCAGCACCCAATATGCCCGTGATGCCTTCCCTGGTGTGCCACCTCTTGGCGGGGTGCATATTTTTGTCATCAACGAAGAACGTACGTCCATCTTGTAGACCTCAATGTTGCCTGCCTTACACGTGCTCTAGTTCTTGAGAGCCTGGATGATCTCTGGTGGATTGACCACCATCATCGGATATAATAAAGTGAGTAGGAGGATCGGACTCGGACAGTGCACACATTGATGTTCTTGACAGACTAACTCAATGACTAAGCACCGCAAGCCCATTGCACGCTTTCTGCATGAGGGTCTCTCTGGCCTTCTCCTTCAGTACCTGATATTCATCAGGACTGTAGAGGAGGGGAGAGTAGGCGCGGTGGTGCCTGCGCCATTACCTATTCTATACAGGGGAAGGCGAGACTGCCGAGACAGGCCTCTTGAGTACGCACTGAAGAAGGAAACAACGCATTACCTCCAAGCGGGCCTGGACGTGCCAACTTATAGGGGTGGTCTCGGCCCCCGTGTCTTTGCTCTCTTCCGTGCCACCAGCCGGTTATGGCATCACACCGTGCTGGGATTGTCGGTAAAAGGTCATGTGGCAGAACTGAAAGAGATCCTGGACGACAAGTCGACCACAAACAGGCTTCTGGGAGAGGAAAACGATGGTGGTGCGAACGATGATTCAGCAGCCTCCTTGAGCTTACGGGACCTGGTCAAGGAGGCGATCCATTAAGAGGTTTTGCCCGAGCTCAAGGGAGTGATGGAGAGCATGGAGCTATGTCTGATGGCCCAGCTAGAGAAGGTGTTGATGAATAGGCTTGCTCCTCCTGCCATCAATGCCAACATAAGCAGTGTGGGGCCCCGCACCCTTACCCCTACTCCTCCAGCGGATTCATATGCCCTTTCTCCTCCCCCTACCATCAATGCAAATGTTGGCAATGTGGCATCCCACGCCCTTTCCTTTGCCCCTCCAGCGGATTCGTACACCTTTTCTACCCCTATTGTTCAGATGCCGCTGCACACACCTTCTCCCCTTCCTCTTCCTTCAAGTGCCCCCACTGCATGGCAATTGTCAACGCAGGCCAAACAGTGGGAGAAGCAGCTATGGTCAAGCAGGTCTCCATCTGGAATGGTATGTTCAATATTTATGACGCAATTTGATGGGATGTTGAGACAAAACTTGTCACAGGATGTTGATGTCTTAGTTCAAGAAGAGGAACAGGAGCCCAGGTACATCAAACCCCACAAACGTTGACATCATCTTGGGGCCGCACCCGTGGTCATTGCTGCAGAGCAGAGGGGTGTGGGGGACCTCAGGACTGGGCAACACCCTCCCAGTCACCAGAGTGCCAGTGAAGGTGCGTTTCTCTCTCTGCCCCCCTTCCAACACACTGATATTTTTAAAAAATCTCAGCTATGCCTTCCCCTCTCCCCCAAGAGATAGACGGCTCGATGCTATCGACAGCATATGATTCAGAATCCACCTGCATGCTTTGAGCAGTGCTTGATGATCCGACGGCAACGTTCAGGGCTCCTGCCCAGTATCATGTCTATAAGGAGATCATGGCCAGGAAGCGTCATTGCCTCTTTGTTTCTGCCTGTTAGAGATGGGCGGAAACGGACGACTCCGGAGTGGAATCGGAGACTTAGCGTGGAGGGACCTTGGCCTCAGCGACTCAAGCGGAGCGCTGTGCCATTGCTGTTTGTCCATTTGGTCCTTAATTTCACAGTAGGTGAGCAGGAAGTCTCTTGGGGGCATTTCAGGTCGATTTCGGACTGAAAACAGACGAGTATGTACAAGCGCCGATATATAAGGAAGGGGCAAAAGCACAAGGAGAAACAAAGGGTGACCGAATCGGAACGAAGACGTCCGAACGGGAACAAAGGGTTAGAGGGAGCGGAGCGGTACCGAAGGTCATAGGGCAAGACCTGTGATACATCCGAAAGGAGGTAGAGTGGGCGAGGCCCAGAGGGGCAGGAGGATGAGGGGAAGTGGGGGTGATGACTAACTGGCTAGAATAGAAAGAAGCAGTAGTCCAAATAGGGATGAGGGGGAATTGCGAGAAATACATTACAAACGGCGAGAGTGCTGGAGGCGGTCCGCGAAGCTCGGGGGTTGCAGAGCTTACGGAGGTTACGGAGGCGGGGTTGGAAGTCCGAGGAATATTGGCAATGGTGTTCACGTAGTATGAGGTCACCAATGCAATGGACTAAGACCGAGGTGGAGTCAAAGTCCGAGGTATGGACTATGACGGAGGCTCGGAGTAAGGTACGAACGGTGTCCGAGTGTGAAGTACGGAACAGCGGTGGATGGTCGTAACTTGGCGGAAGGGTGGCGGAGGAATGAGAGAGGGGAAGGTAAGGAAGAGTAGTCAGGTCCGAAGGTGGATATCGGAACGGACGGAGATAGCGTAGGGGATGACGGGAGGGTGGAGGTGTGGTGAGGGGGGAGCGGAGTAGTAGGAAGGGTGGCGAGTAGGGCGATGTTCGGTCCGAGATGAGTATCGGAACGGACGGAGAAGGGGTCGGAGAGGTAAGAGGAGGGGTGTGTTGCCGAGACCGAAGGTGAGTATCGGAAAGGCAGCGGTAGGTTATGACTCCGGAGGTGAAGAGGGTGGAGGTCCGGAAGTCGGGTCGGGGTCGGGTATGCACGGATATGACACTGCCTGTGGTTCTGGAAAGATGCTACCGTTTGTCCTCGGTGCCAAGATGTGGGCCCTCAGCGGCAGGCAATCGGTCTTGGTGTTGCCCTGCCAAATCCTCCATCCAGAGATGCACAGACGCTTGGGCAAAGCCGGCCTCTCCCACTGCAAATGGACCATTGAGAATCCGCATCCAAGAGAGCAAGTGGTCACCGTAGCCGATCGAGACCTTCAGCAACGATGTGTTCATGACCTGGCTTACAGCATTGGTGAACGGTAGACAGCTAGGGTGTCTCATGTTCGATGAAGCGCATGGGATCACAGAGGATCAAAGGTTCCGTCCTGCCTATGAGGATGCGATCCACAAACTCTCATGGCTCCAAGATGCACCAATCATTTTCACATCAGGCACGATGTCCCGGGACTTCACGTCTGAGTTCTGGAAGGCTCTGGATATCTGGTATCTGCCAGACGAGGCTGTGATCATGATCCGCACCAGCACTCAGAGGCCGCAAATCTTCTACTAGTTCATGGTGCTTGACATTGGCCAAGAGCCTCAGATGACAGATTCGCCAGCCCACAAGGAGGAGTGGAATCTCAGTTGGCGTGCATCCACCGTCGGGGTCCTCTGTGAGGCAGAGAGGGGCTTGAAAGGAGACGAGCGGGGCCTGGTGTTTTTCGTGGGCAAGAGCGAGTGCATGGAGTGGGCGGGGCACTTGGACTGCTCATACATCACCGCTGATGTTCCACCCCAGCAGCGTTTCGAGGATTGGCGTAGAGGGAAGCAACAGATCCTGTGTCTCAACAAGGCAGGCTACTATGGTTTTGATTACTCTGCGGTAGCGTTTTCGATCTTCGTTAGTCAACCGTTTTCAATCAACGACTTCTACCAGAGTTCTGGGAGGGTAGCTTGAGCTCTCTTAGCTGGGTCAAGCCTTGTATTGCTGCCATCTGTTCCAAAGCGCACCGGTCTTGTTATCAAAGAGTGTTTTGAGGGTCGCTTGGCGATGATGAGGACTGCCCACCAACTCAATATTTGCCATCGGGTCTTTCCTTCGCAGCATCTGGATGGTATGAGTCGAAAGTACATGGAACTTCGCGAATCAGAACACTGCATGGTGTTATGTGCGGTGTGTCACAAGGAAGAGGAGGGCAAGCTGAGGGACTACGATTTCAATCGTCGCTGGGGGAAACCTTTCAGTAAGTAGGGTAGGACCCATTTCCTCCCTTCTCTGACCCTCCTTTTAGAAATGGCATGCAAGGATCGAAGCCCTACTATCATTTCTGAGAGCTGCTCACCTGATCGCCCCCCCATACGCAGGCAGGTTCCAGCCATTCTTGGGCTGCTGCTAGACCTTCCACCTCGGCTGGACCTTCCGCCTCTGCCAGGCCTTCCGCCTCGGCTGGACCCTCTACCTCGGCTGGACCTTCCACTTTGGCCATCAATGTTTCACTTCAGCGATCCTGAGCCAATGGTGCTGCTGCTATGCCCAAGTGCAGGCCTGTCTCCAGGAGCCTGGGGGGAAATGTCTGCTTTGCTGGTTGCATGGTGCTCATGGCTCGCACGCAACAGCATGCTGTCTCGGCACCGACCCATGGCAGGGGTGGCAAGAGCATCAGCTGCAACGCCAGGATAGGTCCTGGAAGCGTAGCCACTTTTGCGCTGAAAGGGGTGAAGGGGGTAAGGGGAAGAATGTTGAGGGTTATTGTTGGATATGCCTCCTTGACAAGAGCTCTAGTTTGGTGCATCGTGATTCAACTCCAAGGGGATGTATGTTCCATGACATGATTCCCAAAATGGCATGGATCATCTTAGGCTCGGAGCGGCTCCGTGAGGCTCTTGCCAACTATGTTGAGGATGACAAAGTGGCGGCTATGAATCACAGCTGTTGCTTGGATGGCAGGGCAACAAGGGATGGCGTAACTACTTCACTCTGTCAGTACTCTTCTTCTTCCATCACGCTCGTAACCATTTGTAGTGTATATACTTTGAGGGTAAGGGCACCTGAATATATTCAAGGCGCTGGTATCTGTTATATTGAACCATGCAGTATGTTAAAATTGCGATCATCTGGTGCCCCGGCCACTGTGGCATTGACGGCATTGAGGGAAATGAACGTGTGGATGAGCTTACCAAGTCTGGTGCTCGCATTCGACCCAACCAGATTACTACTCGCTATCCTTCGTAGAAAGACTCCACAAATACGAAATGCAAGACGAATTGAGCAAGCCTTGGACCACAAGACACCCAGCAGGGTCGCCCAATTCCGCACCAGACATGCCCACACCAGCGAGTGCCATCACCTAGACCATAGTTCGGTTCAATTCAAAAGCAAAATTTTGCGAACTTGAACTGGTTCGAAAAAAGCATCGCAACAAGTTTATCCTGGGAATGTGTGTGTGTGATTCATTTTAAACTCCCATATCCGTGCCTGTTGGCATGTGACAGAACATACAATGGCACTGCACAGAATATGAACAAAGTCTTGCAATTGTACCTCCCATCTTGCCAGCTCTCAGACTGCCATCTGCCGGTATTCCATCCATTTTCCCCTCCCCATCTCTTCAGTCTCTACCGACACCCCCTGCATTCCTGGACTTAGCCCAAGCAGACAACCAGTACATGATGCTATTGATTATCAGATTGCTGCCTCTTTCCTGGACTTTTCCCGATGGAAATGCAAATGGAACTTGCATTTCAAAATGATCTTGGATCCAGTTGGGTCGTTGGGGAGCTGGAGCAGCTTCCGGGTAGAGAAAAATGGATGAAGTCGTATCTGAGTGGAGGATAAGCCTTGCTTTTCGCCTGCAGGCTTTGCAAACAATGTCTGAGCATGTGAACCGCCGGAATTCAGTCGGGCTCCCAGGAATTCTATGCCACCGCTCCCACATCCACTCCCCTTTCCCACAAGAGCATGGATCAAAACCAGGTAGGCAGTCTGGAAGAAGCCTGGTCATGATGGCATGGCAATCTGTGTCAGGTGTGTGCCATGGAAGCCAAATGAGAGAGGTAGTGCAGACATCAGCATTGCCACCGACTCAACAGAATAGAATGTGTTCTGAGAATTGGTTGACCCTTAAATGCTATCAGTCTTGCTTGGGCAGGGTCCCCATGATCAAATGACTCCATAACGAACATTGCCACTGATGTGCCAAGAAGGGCAGGTGGGATATTCCTGGAGGCGATATGGAGGACCCATTTGAAGAGGGAGCTGATCCAGAGTGAATCAAGATCAAATGCCAAACATCAGCAGTTCAGGCAACACACCTCCCCAGGGCATGTTGTTGTACACGACTCCATTCGAATTCTTCCTCACATTCCACAAGGAGACCCACAAGTGATGTTTCCACTGCATTGGGTTGTGATTGCTGCAGAATCACATCAGGTCATGGGCCACAAAAGAGGGTGAACACTCACCAGCATGGATTTGATCTCGTGGGCTGTCTGGAAAACACTATCTATCTTGTATCTGTGAACCATGACAATGTACAAGACAACGGCATCATCCTGTGGGTTACCATCACCTACGATCTCCTCCAGTTCATGCTTCAAATGGTGAGGACCCTGGAACGCATTCAAATCTTTGATCTATAACCGGAGGTCAACCATAAAACACAGCACCTGCAGCTGGGGAAATACCAGGAGATTGGCTGGACAACTCCCAAAACGTTGCAGGAGAGCAGATTGCACATAATTGATGAGATGACCAAGTATTCCATCTTCGCAGGAGTAGAGGAATACCATCTGGGCTGTACTCCGTTGTAGAAGAAAGGGTGAAGTGTTGAAATGCTTGACCTGATGACCCTTGTTGGCGCATGCAATGCTGAGGGAAATACAACGAACCAATGGGGGCTGCTTCCTTTGTCTCTGACAACTTTGGCAGTAGTATCGTGTCCCTAGGCACTCTAGGCTATCCTTGGCCATGCATCCGGTACAATAGGCCTTGCCGTCTTGGTTTACTTTGACGTCCCCGATACATTGTTTCACAGCACAAGTGGGGCAATTTACACACGTTCCGACTGCAGGACAGGAAGAACAAGTTGAATAATTGGTGGAAAAGTGGACAGACATAGCAGAGATGAGTCGCTGCTGTTGTTCACTGTTTTTTGGACACCAGGTGCTATGGCAGAAAACCTACAAAACCCCTCTGAGATGAGCGCAAAAGGAAATATACACGTGATCAGGGCCAAACCAAAAATGATGGGAATTGATTTAGAATATATCATGCTTGAAAGTGACTAATCAGGTTCGACTGAGGATTGTAGCGGGAGATGGCCCAGGAGGCCCAGATGTCAGGGCACACCCGCCTGACCCGGCTCCACCCGGCCCAACCTGACCCGGTACCCTGCCAGTCCACCCTTCCTTACCCCCTCCCCCTTTCCCTTCTTCCCCCTCATCCTCCCCTCCTCAGTTTCTCCTTATCTTACTTCCCCTTTATTCTCTCTTTATTCTACATGGACGACTTTCTCTGTATCAATGTACAACTGACCCATCTGCAGCGCGCCCACCATGTACCCGGCCCGGGCACCTCGGGCGACTTCCCACTGTGCCCAGCACGCGCGCCTGCACCGGATACCCTCGGGATCTCCCACGGAGACACCCGGGTGGTTACGGCTGTGTGCGAGGGTGACGTGGCATCCGTCATGTGATCCAAGCCGCATGTATATAAACGAACCTGAAGTGGGAACTGAAGAAGTAGCCTTCTTCTCAACTTTCCACTTCAGGTAAGTAGTACAATATTTCTCCTTTAATAATAATAACAACTTTCCACTTCAGTCTAAGTGGCCAGGGACTACTGTCCCACATCGGGCCTGTCAGTACGCACGCCCGATCCGCCCCCCGCCAGGCTCTCGGTCCCGGACGCTATACCCGGACCCCCTCGACCCCGGACGAGTCCCTGACAGCAGAAGAAGGCTTCAACTTCATCTCCCCCGCCTCCCCTGCCTCTCCTGCCATGGTGACGGAAGAACAGTACGATGACCTCCTAGCCCGGTTCCAGGAACTGCAGGCTATTGTGGAAAACCAAGTCCTTAACCATCCCCCACCTGCTCCTGTGCCTGCACCCGCGCCTATCCCCACACCCGCTCCCACACCCGCCCCCAGACCCAAGCCACCTAAGGTCGCCCCCCCCACGCCCTTCTCGGGAGCCAGCGAGGACCTGGACCGTTTCAAAGCCGAATGTGGAATCTACTTCCACGTCCACGTGTCCGAGTTCCCCACCGCCCTCTCCCAGATTCTCTTCGTGTTGTCCTACATGAAGGGAGGGCCGGCAGGAGCATGGGCAACGCAACGCACGATCTCGCTGTTGACAGCAGGGTCCCCAGCACTCACCATGGACGAGTTCAACACGGAACTCGACGACATGTTCCAGGACCCAAATCGGGAAGCCACTGCCCGGCAGAAGCTGGCGGCCATCCGACAGGGGAGCGACTCCGTGGACAAGGTCATCCAGGAGTTCGAGATATTAGGGCCTGCCTCGAGACTGGGTGACGTAGGGCTGGTCGACCGCTTCGAGCAAGCGATCAACGCCCGGCTCCGCAAGAGCATTTACCGTCTCCACCCTATGCCCACCACCTGGGCTGAATGGAAACGCGAGGCCACCCTCCTCGACAACCAGTGGCGATGTTTCCAGGCCACCCAGCCACGAGCACCCCCACCTAGACCCCCACTCCCACCAACCAGACCCCCTCTAGCCACCGCCCCCCCCTACGCGCGGCCCACACCCACCACCTCGCGACCTACGCCCGCACCCGCACCCCCAACCCCCGCAACCCGTCCCACGCCAGGAACAGGTCCACAGCCAATGGACCTCGACCGATCGAGGACTGACCAAAGACGGAAAGGGTTGTGCTACAATTGCAATGCCCCAGGCCATGTCGCACGAGAGTGCCCGCACCCTAAGGTCCACCGAGT